TTTTAAAACCTGCTGAACGAAAGGTTGATGTTTAAACAGTGCCCTTTGAGCTTCATGCTTAGCTTTATTCAGCCAAAGTGTTTTGGTCAATGTGCTTGTTGCCTGTACACTTTACACTGCGTCCTTCAGATACAATCGCAGTGCAGTAAAACATCTTTCATAGATTGATTTTTGATATGGAGGAAGAGGCATTTCATTTTACTACCTTAAGTATATCAAGAGTGCGTGTAACACTTCAATCTCGTTTAGTCAACGCCTGGACGCGTACAAGTACGAAGTCTTGATCCACCGTTTGCGGTTGTCGCTGCGAAAAATTTCTTCAAATCAGAAAAAGCAACACTTCTCTGGAATTCTAAAGGTATGCACAATTTTGCGTAGGCTTGGTTTCGATTTTCGCGACAACTGTTACATTTATAGTACGCCAGTTGATTGAGAAGTTCATATCAGCCACTGTCATCTTTTTAGTTACCACATTGGTTCTTAATTCTATTTTTATATTCAATAATTTAGGAACTGCTGTATTAGTATTATCTAGTACTGAGGTGGATGCATCTAACCAGTCATATTACGGAGAACAACATGTAAGTTCTATCGAATATATTGTTTCACCAGTGTTAGCCACTTTAGTTTTTAGATATACCTTTTAAATTTGACCACCCAAGAATCTTTTCAAGTAAATGTACGGAAGAAGGGTCCTGTACATGCAGCAAAATGGAATCCTACTGGAAAAGAATTCTGTGTATGCTATGGATACATGCCCGCCATGGTGAACACTCGTTAACCCTTCTTTGTACTTGCGATTTCCATAGGGAGTTTCAGATGAGCCTGTACAATCTTAAAGGAGACGAAACTTTTCATGTTGACGAAGGACCACGTAACGATGCATTTTACAACAATTTTGGGAACATTTTACTTACATGTGGCTTTGGTAACCTTGGAAAAGGAAAAATGGAATTTTGGGACGTAGAAAAGAAAAGACAGATTGTTGCAGTAGGTGTCATATACAGTGCTGTTGCTTCGTTACACATTTTTCATAAGCATCCAGTGCTAAAATCTCTTAAGATTGAAGTTCCGAATACCACGATATTCGAGTGGGCTCCTGACGGTCAACATTTTCTCACTGCTACCACGACTCCACGACTTCGTATTGACAACGGGTATAGGTGGGTTGCAAGTTATCGTCACAGTGACTCTGTTTATAATATAATGCTGATCTGCTT